GAAAGGAGAAGTATTTTTCATTTTTAAATATCACAAGCACTCAAAGATTCCCTTGGTGAATGACTTGATGAGTAAATGCAGGCAGAGCATCTCTGTCAAACATATCATCGTAATAGAACGAAAAGGCAGAGCATGAATCACTTCTAGGATTTCCTGATTTTGCTTGTGTAGGATGTTAGAGAGAGGCTGCAGGAGTGTAATTGATGGCAGTTGCACATAGAGATCATGGGAGGATGAGAAAAACACAGCTCAGCACCAAACTGCTAACAGAGGTGAATGAGAAGTTTGCTCTGTGGATGTGCAGTGAGTCTCCATCTGTGCCGCGCAGACTTCAGGACCTCAACTTTGGCATCCTTCCCTACAGCAAACACATCGAAAAGAGGAAAACCGGCCAAGTTTTAATCAAGTAAAAGTTCTGTGTCCAGAGGTGGCTGGCAGAAGGAGAGATTAAGGTATTAGGAGTGCAATGAAAACAAGACGTTAGAGAGTTGAAAGCTGGAGTACCTGGGCAAGCCACTTGCTGAGCAAATATTCCAGTCGGCAGAAAGAAGCCCAGAGTGTTTTGCTGAGGATGAAATGTGAACCCACCCACCAGCCCTTCCTCCGGCTGTGGCTATTGCTGTGACAAAGATGTAATATCCTAATGCCTAGCTGAGCTGGTAGGATAAATGTAATCATTCCCCTTAGAGATATTGCTAGCAGAGGGCTCATTAGCTGACAGAAAGGCCAACAGCTGCAAGCTGTTTATGTATGACAACTTTTTGGATAAATCTGAGTTTACACAGTTGCTTGTGTGCTAGGGTTTGCTGTGGAAGTGCAGATAGCTTTGCATGTTCAAGCCCATGCACAGAAGTTATAGGCTGTAATTATGCAGCTTCTCATGGGAGAAGCAAACAAACAAACAAAACCCCTCATGCTTAGTCAAAAAAAAGAAAAAAGACGACTTTCCTTACCCTCTAATACTGTTGTTTCTGCTTAACCTATTTTAAAAATAGATTTGTAGTAGCTGCTGGGGGTTAGCACTGGATCTGGAAAGATAAGGACTCTCTGTGAAGAAAGGTGTTGACTGTGTATTTCTCTATGAACCCAATCTGAGCTGTGGGAGAAGAAAAAAAAAAAAAGAGTTCAACTTTCTTCCCTTCCATTTCATTTTCATGCACCTGTCCTCCCAGCCAGGGCCTGATGCAGAACTGCCAAACGAAGAGGAGTTCCTCTTACGTTGCTCCCAGCCTGGTAGAACTGCAGCGTGCCAGGAATTTCATGAGCATGTCTGAATGCATGAAGTTTCCGTTTCAATTTTGGAGAATCAAAAGGCTCAGTTAAAAATCTTGGATTTTTAGAGATGAAATCAAATAACAGTTTCTGTTCATCCCAGTGGAGAAAATAAATCATGTTTCTGCAGCTACCAAGAAGTTGTGCTACTATCATTTTCAGTTAAAGGTGTCTTCTCAGCATATCAATTAAATGGATTGCTGGGTGGATTGCAGAGAAGTTTCATTGATTCCAAGAGCTCAGATATATTTGCTAAAGAATTGTGTTGCTTCAGCAATTTGTAGGTCAACAGTATATCTGCTATTTGTTTCTATTGTAATCAAATTCATGGAAAAATATATTGGCCCAAAAGGTAATTAGTCTCAGAGAACACTTTTATGCAAAACATGCATGTGCATATCTATCTATATGTTTATGCATGTTTATATATATATTTTTTTTTACATTTTGAAGCAAACTTTTTTCATAGTCAAAAATGCTACAACACTTCATTACTACCAACTTGCTGCTCCAGAATGGCTCTTACTGATAACACTCAGCAGTTGTTTAAAAAAAAAAAAAAAAAAAAAAAAGGCAGTAGTAGGAAGTTCAACTTCCATAGTGCAGAGCTTTCTGCTTTTCTAGGATTGTAAGCTTCCTAGGCCACTCCACTTCCATTCCTGTATAGTCTGGTCCCTGGACTATGCTGCAACAAATGTAATCATCACAATAATAACTGTAGCTGTCTGTTTTGAAATCGATTATTCCAAATATTATAAAATGTTTACAAAGGATTGACATTAAGCACTGAAAAAAAAATTTAAAAAACACCAAAACATAGTCATAACATGACTAAGACTCTGTAACTGAGCTACTGTGGCTTCTTTTTCAGCCAGTAATGAATGTAGAAGTTCTTAATCGTAAGTTTTACACCCCTCGGTGATGAGGATTTTAGCACAGAACAGTGTTACAGCCGGTCAGCTTCAGTAGGATTAGAACTGCTCAGGAGAGACCATAGAAGATTTGGCACTTGCGGCCTTCATGATTTATATTACTTTCTAATTTCTGTTTAACTTCTTTCAAAACCCCGCCAGAACTCTGGACTATTTTGCTATACCACATCTTCCAAACATGGAAATATTGCCCCCTTCCATCTCCTAGTGCCAGCAAACACTGAATCAGTCTTGTTTTCTGAAGTTTATCACAAAGACTTCAGCATGAATCATGTCAAGCTAAGCTTGCTTGCCTGATTTGCTGCTGAGCTGGGGTTACAATGCTGCTTTGTTTAAGTGGGATGTAAAGGCAGAATTATCAGGGTTAGTAGTAGGGACAAAATGCTGTCAAGTCTTCCAGTAGCTGCCCTGCTCTGGTTGCTGCTGTTGTCTGTGCCTAAAACTGCTGAAATTTAACTGAAATGCCCCTCTGTGTTCAGCAAATGTGAACGTCAGCAGAGTTGGGTTCGTTTATTAGAGCCGCACTTGTACAATCTTTTCTGATTGCAGCATGATGGACTGCGAGCCCCGGACCCCAGAGGCAGCCAGGAGTGGCTTTCGGGTGGCCACTAGATTTGTCATGGGGTTTCCAGCACAGTGCAGTGGGCAGAGGCTGGGCTGGGCAAACTCAGCAGCCTCATGAGCTCTCTCCTTTCTCAGCTGGGGCTTGGGATCCCCAGCAGCTCATGGGCCATCCAGGTTGTGTCTCCTCTCTCCATCCTTCAGCTCATGTTCAGATGCGGGGAGGAGATTTAAGAATTCTAAAACGTGACGGAAGAGACAAATCTGAAGTAGCAGAGACTTGGGCAAGTCGCATAATTGTTCCTTTCCAGCCCTAGCTTCTGTGACTCAAATGTTCAATTTTTCCTTCCCTTAAATCAAAATCTGGCTGTTCCTCTTAATCCCAGACCTTCTTCCATTGGTTTTACAGTAAACTAACATTTCCTCACATTTTTTCCTTCTGCTGAAAGCATTCCCAGAAATTGCTGATCCCAAGTAGTCTTGGAAGCGAGATTGTTATTGGTAAGGGTATTGTTATTTGTGGGTCAGCATAAAAGTGCATGGTAGCAGATGCCAATGAGGAAAGTTCTCAGCTCTCCCTTTCAGAAGCCAGGAATGTTTTGTGATCTTTAGCTCCGAGGGAAGGTGTGCTCGAAGCAGGATGCCACACGTGACTACGGTTGCAGTTCTGTTCTGTGATTGGTTCTTTGGGCTGTCAGTTTTGTGAGTTGAGGTTGCCATCTCTAATATACTACTTCTTGAGCAATTTTTTGACACTTATGTGATCATGTTTCGGGTAAAAAGCAAGTCAGTCTAACTACTGAAATGCAGCCTTTTATGGCAATTGGTTTAAAGAGATTAAATCTTAATTTTATTTTTGCATCTGGTATGAATCCGGCCTTCAGCAATCAGCTCTTGAATGAGCAGATGTTAGTATCCAATTTCTTCCCTGCCTTTGTTCACTATTGCTAATGCTGAAGTAAAAGGCTGCTGCCCACCTATTCTGTCATAAACTGCCCTGGAGATAAGTATCCATATCCATGTTGTTAGCACAACTCATAAAACCAGAACTGGACTTCCAGGCCAAAAGTTCTACATCACTTGCACAAGCTCTGACAGAAGAAACAAGTGAGATCCGGTTTGTGGTGCCCCATGGTAGCCTATGCATTAAAGGCAGCTAGGTACCACCTACCTCTCCGGGGAAAACAGGGCAAGAGTAAGAAAACAGGTCTCTTGTTTTCTGGTAAAAACATAAATATGTCTGCTTGAAAAACTTAAAGTGCACCTATGGAAGGTCTCAATGCTCCTTCAGCATGTAAGAGGCTTTGTGATTTGGCAGGTTGAGTTAACACTTAGGTTGCGGCATGTTCTTTGGAAATCCTGTTCTGTGTGCCTGCTTGAACTGCCCGTGTGGCTCTTGAGATAGCAGTCGAGGACTTAGCACCTAGAGGCATCCTTATGCTTCTCTATCTTTAACCTTCATGCAGAATTCCCAGCAGCCGGCCCCTGTGATCTGGGTGCAAGATGAAGCAAGATCCCTGTAGCAAACTGCCTGACAAGGACGCTGTCACAAAATTTCCAAAAAAGTGTCCTGGAGCTCTGTGCAGAGGACAGTCTGCATACAGGAAGGGCATCTGAGGATGATTGCTTTTCCATAGCAGAAGTTTCATGCTGTGACTTCTGAATTCCTTTTTGACTTCAGCCTACAACCATTTCTGGTGCCCACACAAACAGGGCCGGAGAGAACTGAGCAATTGTCTGTGGGATCAAATCCTAAATTCCACTAAGTCATAGGAGGCTTGTGCCACCTTTGTTGCCTTTGTGACTCACCACTGGAGTTTGCCAGCTTTTCCATCTCTGCTCCTCTTGCTTTCTTTAAGTGTGAAAATAAGGAAAAATGTAAGATCTCTTCAGAGAGTCTCACCTTTTATTGCCTCACCCCAACAGCATCCTGGGGCATCAATAGACAAGCTCAGATGAATTCTTTAGTCTCTATGGACAGTGAAATATATTTTCCAGTGAAATCAGTGAGGGCAAACCTGCTTAGCTTGAGTTGTTTCCTGTCTGATGAAAATCTAGGCTGATTTCTCTGTAGGATGATGATCCAGATTCTTGGATGATTTTGTGAGAAACTACTTTGATATTTTCCATACTGGGTGCATTTTTTTATCATTTTGGCTAAGCTACTGCTGTCTGCTTTGAATGCATGACCTGTTTCACCAGTTCTGATGAAAATATTCTCTGTTCCTGTTGCAGGGATTGCTTACCTGGGAGGTGTCTGCAGTGCCAAGAGAAAATGTGTTCTTGCTGAAGACAATGGTCTCAATCTGGCATTTACAATTGCACATGAACTCGGGCACAAGTAAGAACTGATCCTTTTATTTTTTTCTTTGCTCTTGCCACTGTGGCAGACTTGTGTTTGAAGCCATACAGATGGAGTTACTAATGTGGCATGTTTGTGACAATTTCAAAACTCTGGTTCATCAAGCAAATGGATGAATAACTTTTTTGAGACATAGGTAGTACTCATCATAGAATGTTTAAGGTTGGAAGGGACCTCTAGAGGTCATCTAGTCCAACCCCCTGCACGCGCAGGGTCACCTAGAGCACGTGGCACAGGACTGCGTCCAAGCGGGTTTTGAAGATCTCAAAGATCTCATGTTCAGATTTTGAAGATCTCATGTCAACACACACAAATCTTTTCTAGTTTGACCCGTCCCTATTTTTCACTCTACATTATGATTTTGAGCAGTGTGAAAAGATCTTGTTCCCTGATATGTTTGGTAAGAGTAGTTAG